ATTAGGGTTCTCAAATCTTCTGACTTGTCAAGCAAAACATTTATGTATCAAAAAATGTTTTGGTCAACAATGAAGAATGGCAGTGGTTCCATAATAGTATCATGGATCTGAAAAATTCCTTTTTGACACAATTTGAATGCTCATTGTAACATCCTCCATGCCTTTTCTTTTTATTTTTTATCGGTTAGGTTTTTGGTCTTTTCCCAGTCTTCAGACTTTCAGTCTCTACATAGTTTAAACTTTGATATATTTCTGGATCAAGTCATTGGACTTATTTTCCCAAAACCCTTAATCCTTGATGCTATCAACCCTGTGGCTTTAAAGACTGCTGCTGGGCCTGACAACTTCCAAGTCTACATGTCCATTCTGAATTTTCTCTTGAACTCCACAGGTACACATCAAGCTTTCTACTCAGCATTTTCATTTGTACATGTTATACACATTTAAAAGCCAACATTCTCTTTATTCAGCTTCTGATCTCATCTGCCTGCTATTCCTCTTATTCCTACAGATTTTCTTGTCTCAATTATTAACAAATCCAGGCTCCATATTGCTCAAGCTTAAATCTCATTTATTCAGTTCAAACACCACTGGGTGTGAAGAATTAATGATCCAACTCAGATTGAACTGGGCCAAATCCAGTTCAATTTTAATTTCTACTCAGCTGAGTTGATGATCAGTTCTGTACATTTGCTGATACCTTCTGATTTTTATTTTTCTGTGAGCAAAGACACATATACACACACTCGACTTTTAAGAGGAGAGGATTCTGTTAAGGTTTAGAAGTCCTTTTCTCTTTCTCAAACCAAAAACTCAATCTTTTGCAGGTATTGTTCGTTTCTCACTTTCAAAACAATCTGGATGCTTCTCACCTGCTCCTTCCAACCACATTGGATCATGCTGCTGTCTTAATCAGTCTCTGTTATTGCAATAAGCTCTCACCTAACCCTCGAGTTTCACCATCTTCCTCCTTTAGTTTATTTCAACACAGCTGTCATGATCTTGCTAAGTGCATGTCATATCTTATCAGTTCTATGCCTTCCCATCTCACAGATGAAAAGTCAGAACCCTTAGTATCACCTAATGGGTCCTAGCGTTCCTAAATGATCTGACACCATTCAATCCTGTTCAGGATTTCTGAGACCTCATCTATGTCACTCTATCCTTTGCTTTCTGGAAAACCAACTTCAGGCAATCAACATGGATTTTCATCTTCTCTGTCCTCAGATATTTCTTCCCCTATTTAAATTCTTAACCAAGAGCCATATCAACAGTGAGTTCTTTCCACTTCATCAAAATTTAAAACTATCCACCACAACATAGCCGGAGTACTTGTTAGTATCCAGTTTATTGTATGCTTCATTCCTGCTAATATGAGCAGACGGAAGCATCATTCTATATATTTTACCTTGTTGTATCTCAGTTACTAGAATATGGACTTGTTAAGAATTTATGCTGAAAAAAATAGTTTTGAATGTAAAATAAACTGCAAAGACTGAGTACTGATGGTAGAAAATATTCTTTTGTTTTCTAATTTTAAAACCTGGTGGTTTAATATAAACTCAATAATATTTAATTCTGAAGCATCTGTTTTGAAGTGTATGTTAATGTCATTGTTTTCTCTTGATTAATTTTTGGGAACTTTAATTTGTACAATCAAATCAATTATTTTTAAAAATGTTTCCATAAGGAAAGAACTACAGTTAAATCATTACATTCACTCTAAAAAATAAAAGAACAAAGAAAACAAAAAAATAAAGAGTAATATATTCACAATTTATAAGTAACTATTTTCCCACTTTAAATAAAAGTATAGTCTCAAAATGCAAGCTGTTAAGTAACTTGCTGTATACTTCTAAAATTCCTTTAAATAATTCTATTACGTCTGCTTTATTTTAATATTTTATTTTCAAGAAGTCTCATTCATTGAAATATAAACACCTAGGATTATTTCTTACATTTCAGAATAAATCACATATAATAATTTAAGAATGGGCGGCTGGAGTTGTAGCTCAGTGATAAAGTGCTTACCTCACATTGCATTTAAATAAATGAAATAAAGGTCCATAGACAACTAAATTTTTAAAAATAATAATTTAAGTATGGTATAGTTTATTAGTTTTATGCACATGTCTTCTGAAAAAAATTAAGAAATGAATTCAGTAATTTACAATTCCATCTATATAATTTAAATATATGATATCATTTTCATCTGACTAAATCAATCTAGTCATCTTCAGCTCCAAACTTGTTATTAAGTTATTAACTCTTTTGGGTCCATTTTTCTTTATTTTTTAAATATGGCTAATGTAATCAAAGCTCATAAACTCAAAACCAGATTATTATGTGTTCAGTCTCTCCCAAACTTAATCTACACTTACATTCATAAGTAACTTCAAATATCAAGAATTGTTCAAGTATAAATGGAAAAAAAAAGTTATCAAATTTAATTTGTGATGGTCAAAGTATGCAATAAAAGTCAATCACAGAATTTAAGGTGTGTATATGAATGGGTATCTGAAGTTATATATACTGGTGATATCACTAAAATATATGAGATGATGATAGGTACCCAGGTAAGTTATTAGAAAAAGTTCAGATTCTATAATAAAGGTAAAAAGTGTGTATATATTACACACACTCACACACATACCCAAACATGCATGCACTCTAAGAAAGAGAAAAAGAGACTGAAATTTAGAAAAGTAATTAGAAGAATAACTAGGGATTTTTCTATACACCATACACAAAGAATGCTATAATTGGGAGTTTGTTAAGAAACTGAAATTTTGTTTTTAAAGGTTTCTACCGCCTAGCAGTCTCTGAATCTGCACCCATTGGAACATTTATTGGAAAAATTATGGCATATGATAGTGACATAGGAGAGAATGCAGAAATGGATTACAGCACTGAAGAGGATGATTCAAAAACATTTGACATCATTACTGATAATGAGACTCAAGAAGGAATTGTTATATTAAAAAAGGTAAGTATATTTTTAGATTATTTGCTTCTCAGAATATGCAAAACAAAAACAAAAACTTAATTATTTTGTGTATCTGGTTTGTTTTTTGCTTCATTAAGTAATTGAAATGTGAACCCTTGATTTATGGTTTAAAGGGAAAATGAGTTCAGAGATGAAAGAGATTTTATAGAGCTTTTAGAATTATATGTACAACTGTTATAAATAAGAAGGTTTTCAAATAAAGGAGATTTTTTGAACAAAGATCCTAAATACCAAGAAATTATTTGTCAACTTCACAAGACATGTATGTTTATAAAAATATAATTTTAATTCTAAATGAAATGATAGTTACTTCAAACCACTTTACGATAAAGTTTGTGAAGAGATAAATTTCTGAAGCCTGTGTCATGATAATATAATAGTAAATCATTTACATAAAAAGTAAAATTTAACTGAAAAACAAATGCTATTTAATAAGCAATACATTTTTTCCTAAGTAATACCTTGGGTTCATGAAGCCATTTCTTCTGTGTACACTGCTTTTCTTTGTAGAAGGTGGACTTTGAGCACCAGAGCTACTACGGTATTAGAGCCAAAGTTAGGAACCAGCGTGTGGACAAGGAGCTCCTGATCTACCACGCTGATGCCTCCACCACTTTCATTAAGGTCCCAGTGGACGATGAAGATGAGCCTCCTGGTTTCCTCCTCCCAACTTATATATTTGAAATTTTGGAAGAAAATCACATGGAGCTTTTGTAGGCACAGTATCTGCCATAGATCCAGATCAAAGGAAATCGCCCATCAGGTAAGTAAGTCTAGAATGTCAGCTTTACATTAATAAGTCACTCAATTAGTATGAAAATAAAGTTTAACTCTAATGTAAACAAGGAAACAGCTCACCTATGTTTCTCTGCATGTTTTTTTTAAAATGAATTTATACCAATTTAATTGAATTAGTTAACAGAGGGATCCTTAATGTTGCTTAAGATGCAGTAAAATAGGAGATTACAAATGTATGCAAGAAATAGGTAATCACCAACAAAAATTCAGTGCAGTTGATGCCCTCTTAATCAGAGTGTAGGGGGTGGGAAATGAAACCCTTTTCTATACCAAGTCAGAGAAAAATTACTTTTCATTGATATGTGGTTCATTTAAATTCTACTTAATCAAAATGCCATGCAAAAAGTGAAGAAGTAAACAGGAGCAAGTGATATAAATACAATGGTTTAGAAATAAATTTTCATGGTACAATCAGATACAACATGCTTGTTACATGTTAAAATAATCTCCTTTTAGTTATTATGTTGTGATTTTCTTTTTATTTTATTCAAAGTATGAGTTATAGTCTGATTGGATAAGCAAATAAACAATTGTGTGTATTTCTTCTTACCTTCTCACCTAATTTCCACATAGAAGAGTTTTCTCAAGATAGAAGAATACAAGATTATTTTAAAGTTTTACATACACTTATCAGAAGCCCCAGAAATTCTCCTCTCAGGCTCTGGTTCAGGAATAATGACAGTGCAATGTTCTGAGTTTAATTATGTCTCTAAAAGATGATGTTGGGTCCAACAAACTACATCAGAATGTAGCCTGAATGGGGGAGACTGGTCGAAGTCAAAGTGATGAGTAGTTAGGAGAAGGTCAGAGGGCAGGAGTGTGGGCCTTGAATCCAATAGGGCTGATGTCCTGATAGGAAGACTTAGGCACAAGGATGGGTGACAGACAAGTGACAATGGAAGCAGAAATGGGGGAAACAGATGACCAGGGAAGCAGAGACTGAGGGAAGGTATCTACAAGTTTAGGAGGTGAGGGTGGCCAGAGCACAATGGCAGCATCTGGCAAGGAATGATTCCTTGATGGCACTTGATTTTTGGACTCTGAGTTCTCAGGACTCAGAGAATAAATTTCAGGCATATTTAGCCACTCAATTTGTGGTGTTTGGGTGGGTCCAACTCACCTACCCTGCACTTGTTTTGACATGAAGCATTGTAGGCAGAAATATATAGCAGTTTTATTCATAAACTCCCCAAACTGAAACATTATTTTAATGACACATAACATGTTTTGGACAAATGGATCAAAACCTGAAACTAAAGCTAAAAGATAAAACTTGTTAAATGGTTGAATACAAAAATGCAGAGAAAGAGGGAGTGATCAAATTGTTCTAGGTCATCACCAAGATGGTGGACACAAGTTTTCAATTCTCCAAATTCAAGGGAGTCTCTGTCTAAAGAAGTGAATACATGTAAATTTTGGAAAAATCAAGCAGAATTTGGACATATTCCAATATGATACAAACTACTGTAAGTGTATTTTGCTGTATTGTAATTAAGTAACATAAGAAAATTAAAGAGGTAAATATAGAAATATAACCAAGTGATTTGTGGAAATAGTATTTTAATTGTAATATATAAATAAAAACAAATAATGTGCTCAGCATATGAATTGTTGTTTTTATATGACTGTTTAGTAATTGCAGTGATACATGTAACATAAACTAGGGTTGAACAAATGTGTAAAAACACTGCAGATAATGAGAACAAGTCTGCTATAGCCAAAGGAAGAGGATACAGAAAAGAAATGGGAAAAGCCTTACATGAACACCATGGTGTAGGATTGGAATGTCATGTCTCAGTATACACTAAAGCCTTCTAAATGCAGAAATCCATCAATATCCTGGGAGATTCCTTTCAGAACTCCCAGGGATACAATATCTTTGGTCTCTAAAGTCTCTGAAGTTTATATGAAACTCTGAAGTTTATATAAAATGCCATAATATTCACATGTAAACTCTGCATGTTCTCTGATATTATTTAAGTCATCTCTTAATTACTTATAATACCTTATACAATGTAAATGTTACTTAAAGAGTTGTTGTCTGTGTTGTTTAGAAAATAATGAAAAACTTGTACATACTCAGTACAAATACACATTTTCCAAATGCATTTGATACATAGTTGGTTGAGTACACTGACATGAACCCACATATGTGAAGGAATAACTGTCTCTCTCTATATGTATATATAATATATATGATAATAAAGGTAGGTTTGTTTTTTACCACAGATATGCATACATATATTTGCTTTTGGATATTTACTCAGGGGTCTTAAAATAAAAGAATCACAAGAAGTAATGGAGACTGTTGCACCCAGATCTTGCTTAAAATACTCTTCTCCAATCAAAAGAAATGAAACTGACTGGAGAATTGGTTGAATCCACAGTTATTACAGGGAGAACATTGTGGTTCTAAAAATGTAAGGAAGAAGCCATAAAAGAATGGAAGAATAGGAGTGTGTTGAAAGGGCCAAGGAACCATGCTGTAATTAATACCCAATGTCCAAAACTGAGTATTTGAACAAAAAATGAATTAAAATATTTGGTTTGTATGATGAGTTTTGGTTTGAATCATTGGAAACAATTCTTATGAATAGATACTAATGAAGATAAATAAAGAAGCACATTTTTAATCACTTGTAAAATAATTTTAATTAATAAATGTATAATCAAAGGAATAGATATCAACATTAGCAAAATAAAGTGGTAACATTGTGGTCATTATTTATACATGGATACTGAAATCAGTAGGTTAATATATAAAAAGAAGCCAAATGTTTTTAGAATATCTTCCTGAGATCTTTAATAATTAAAAAAACATAGTAGTTTTACAGTGAAGAAACCTGGCAAATACTTTGATAAAAAGTCACAGCTAATATTACAATTACTAAGACAAGATTGATACCTCTGTAACTTTCAGGCCCATTTTATCTAATCATGAGAAAGCCTCAGACAGACACCGACATTTGAGAGGCACTGTATAAAATCACCAACTAATATTTTCCCATACACTAAAGGGCATACCAAACAAGGACATTGATACACTGTGGAGGGGACTAAAGTGACATGGAAAAAAATGCACTACATAATCCAAGACAGGGCTATGAATAAGGGAAAAGAACATTAGTGGAGTGACTGGTGAAATCCAATACTACAGTTTGTATTTTATTTAATAAAAGTAGAGCATTTAATTTATCTTGAAATAATAATAACATTATGGTCATATAAAACAATTTAGAAGCAGAATCTGAGTGAGAGGCATAAGGGAAAATTTGTACTGTTGACAACAGTCCTATGAGACTTAAGTTATTTAAAAATATGCATTTAATTGAATTAGTGAGAACATTGCCAGTGTAACTGAGAGGAGGATAGTACAAACCAAAATAAAATAATTAACTATTGATTAGTTTTCTGATGTTTTCCCCTAATTTAAAAAATCTTGTAAAAGGAAAATGCATCCACATATAAAATTTGATTAGCTGCAATTTATCTCAAGGCCAAGGAGATTTCATTTGGTGAAGATGATGTGAGAAAGAAAAAAATGTATATAATCAGAATTGGTGGCTCTAGAAAAAAATAAGGAAAATAATTCATATTATATATTATTGCTTAAATCACAAACTATTATCCAATCTTCCTAGGGGATCAAATATGATTATATTCCATTTTAATTTGTCAATGGAATCTAGATCTATTTATTATCTACTAATTTATAAGAATTTATAACTCCTTATCAAACTTTTAGTGGGTTTTAGTTGCAGTGGTGTTTCCAGAAACAAAATGGGATATTTAATACAAAATGTCAACTGTTAAAATCCTCTTTAATTTTGCTGACAAATATATTCAGTGGGAAATAT